CCCAACTTATAAAATATCAAAAAACCCCTCTTAATTATCAGAATTATTACGAAGTCCCACTTTAACTTTGAGATTTTATCAGAAAACCCCCCTAAGGATTTTCTGATAAAATGCCAAACGGGGTTTTCTAATAATGCCTAAACTCAGCGGAGTTTTCTGATATTTTGAAAGTTGAGGGGGTTTTTCTATAATTGTTCAAAGCTTAGGGGAGTTTTATGACATTTAACCCTTAACAAATATATGATAGTGAAGTTAGACTTTTTAGTCAATAAAATAATGCTCATCCTAAGAAGTATGTTATAGTTCACGTAATTAATCTTTTTGATAACTCCAATGGTTGGTGCAATGGAAGGATAAGTTTTAATGAGATTTGAAGATTATAACTTTTTACTCTTTGGGTGTGTTTGGACCCCATGAAAACCGTGCAGAATTGATCTTTGCGCTATTATAGATTTTTGTGTTTGGCAATGAATGAATCCGGATAGCCCAAGAATAATTTAAGCTAAATTTTGTCCCTTCAAAATCAGTTTTGCTCTAGTCCACCCTGCTTAATTTGTTCCTAGTTCGATTAAGTGTGTACCACTTTAGGATCAATCTGCTGGATTTAAATCCAATAAATGAGCCAATATATTAAATAAATATGTATTATGTGCTATCAACCAAGATTAGCACATTAAAGTGATCTAATTTAGGGTTTGGGTTTTTAATGCATAATTGTTAATTCTATGATGAGCTGAATTAATAATTATGAATAACTGATTCGGTTATAAATAGGGTTGTGGCTCCCCAAATCTCTACGTAGAATCTCTTTCTGATTTCTCATATTTAGAAAGATTAGAGTTTCTATAAGGAGGATATATACTACAATATTTGAAAGATCTACATCTCAAAAGCTCAAGAATCACATTCTACTCCATGGATTCAGGTATGGTTCTGCATCTCTTTAATTTTCTTAATAGTTTGACATGAACAATCTTGAGATTGATTAGGGTTTTATCTATTAAAGCAAAAGTTTATCTTTTATTGATCTAACAAAATCATCGCTCCGTTTATAAGGCTTAATTTTCCAAACATAGTGTCACTTCCAATAGATTAGCTACAATGTGTGTGTGTATAAAAATAGTATTCTATCCGATATCAATGAATTGTTCTAATCTTATCAAACAGTTCCCAACAAATTACAGCCCGTTATAAGAAATCTCTTTCCGCAACCGTTGACAGGTCCAATGAATATGAGTGACATATTGATGTCATTTGCTAAGGACGTAATTAGTAGAGTGGCTTTCGGCAAGTGTTCAAGAGAGGAGGGATGGAATGAGATGATAGATGTGCTTATTGAAGAGAGCAATGAATTGCTTGCATCTTTTCATTTGGGAGATTACGTACCATGGCTTGCATGGGTGAGTAGAGTTACGGGATTGGACGCAAGGGTGAACAAGACAGTAAGCAAGCTTGATGAGATACTTGAACAGGTTATTGACCGTAGCAGAGTTGATGGTAGATCAAGAAGTGGTACGTTCATTGATATATTGCTCTCCCTTCAAAAGGATGGGAATAACTGCTTGGATAAAGATAGCATCAAAGCTCTCATTGAGGTAATGTATCTCAAACATAATTGTTCATCAATATTATTTAGTTTCAATTCGTTTCTAGTACAATTAGCATATCCTCTTTAGTCGGTTTTACTTCGGGCAATTTTATGAGCTCCCAAATTAACCTATAGAATTCCTACTTAACCTTCCAAACATTTGGGTAGTCCACAAAATCCTCATAGCGCTCGAAAGATCTCTCAACTTACTCCCCTGACATCATAGGCCCTCGCACGTCAATATTTTTTTTAATACATATTTCTCTAATTTTTTAAATTATTTTCAGACAACCTCAAACTTTCAACATTATTTTCCGAAAATCCCAAAAATTTAAATATTATTTTCAGAAAACCCTCGTGAACTTTTGATAAAATTTCAAAAAAAATTCTCATACACGTTGAGATGTCATTTTGAAATTGCGTATGTTACTGGATTTTGTGGACAGGCCGAAAGTTCAAGGGATTAATAAGTTACATTTTCCCAAAGTTTGAGGGGCTGTCTTAAAATTATCAAACTCTTGGGGGTTCCAGTGAAATTTACACTTGTTATTCATTTTCATTTTCACTCTGAGAAGTCATAAGCATTACTTTAATATTAAATGACTATGGTTTAGGAAGTAGACTTCTGGTTGCTGAATTTAGAGCAGCGAGGACAAACATTCCTTCTGAGTGCATATTTCGCAACTTATTTATTTCTACTTATGAGTAACCTTAGGGGGTTATTGATTGGGACAAATTGGGGTCAAGTGAGAAAATTATTCTAATTGAATAATTTTATCTCTTTGTGATATTTTAAATAGGGTAAAGTAGGATAAAGTGGGATAATAGGACAATTTGAGCATTTGATTTGACAATTCAAGTGGGATAATTAATGACGTGGCACCTTATTAAAATATATTTTATCTATTAATTACTTCTAAATTAACTTATCCAATTGGTTTAGTATATTATTTAGTACATTATTATAATATAAACATTAATTTACTTTATAGTAAAATATAATATGTTGTACTATAATTACTAATTAATATTATTAATTATTATATTATATTAGCATAATATACTATATAATAATTAAATATAATTATACTATCAATCATATTTATATAATATTTATATAATACATTATTTTATTTATATAAAAATATAATATGTTATAATACTATAATTACTAATTATATTATTAATTATTAATTTATAATTACATTATATTAGTTCCTACATTAATTATAATTGATATAATATATGAAAATATTTTAATATAATATTTTAATAAATATTATTCTAAATTTAATATATATATATGTATCATAGGATATAATGTTTGTATAAATATTATAATATTTACTTTTTAAATGTAATATTTTAAAATATATATATATATATATATTATATATATATATATATATTATTATATATATAGCAATTCTTATGTCAACTCAAAGTGGATGGTCACCAAAGTTTCTATTCAAATCATGTTTGCCTAGGGATACTTGGTGCATGATATGAAGAGTCTTTTTATATATCTAAATGAGTGGATAGAAACCTTTGGTGACAAAGACTTGGTGTCCACTAACTTGACATACCCGATGAATATATAATATATATATATATTATATATATATATATTAATATATATATATATTATAATATATATATATAGTAATATATATATATTTTAATATATATATATATATATATACCAAATATGATATGTTATACTATAATCACTAATGAATATTATTATAATATATGTTCATTAAATATTTATAATTTATAAAAATATGTGTATATTATATAATATATATGTGGTATTGCATAATATAATATAATAATATCACTAAATAAACTATAACATATAATTAAACCATAATATATTTTATTTATTAACATGATAATATATATTATAATATATTGAATATATTATTACTTTATATTTTATATATCAATCGATATATTTATAATATAATTAGCATGTATTAGTTTAAGTAATACAAAAATATTTGAAAGTTATCCCAATTGCCTTCAAAGTGGAACAAAATTATTCCAATATGGAGGATGGGGTAAATTTTTACTATTGGGATAAAATTTTTGTATATGAGTGGGATAATTTTATCCCAAGTGGTGAAATTATCTCACTAGTGTTCCAAAAAAACCAATAACACAAAAAAGTATTATCTTTGTTCCATTGTCCCAATGAATAACACTATGAAATAGAATTCCCAAAATTATCCTATTATCCCCCAAATGTCCCAATGAATAACCCCCCTTAAGGTGCTAATACATTGTTGAGTAAGAGTTACTTATTTTACTTATTTCTTATTTATAAGCAGGGGAAAAATAAGTTAGGATTTTCCAACTTATTTTTTCTCTACTTATAAGGGACGTTTTCCTTATCCTACCCAAAGACAAAAATACCCTTCTATTCCCTTTACATAGCTAAATAGTTTCTTGTAAAGTGATTAATATTACTAATTAATTAATTTATTAGTATTTAATTTATTAATTATTAATTAATTTAGTAATAATTTGTTAGCAATTATTTATTAATAATTAATAATTATTATTTTATTAATATGAAATTATTTAATCTCCATATTACTAATTAATAATCACAAATAATGTAATATATAAATATATTACAATAAAGTATATTTCTCACTATGAGATAACTAATATTTAGATATTAATTAATTATTTTTACTAATATGAAATTAATTAATTAATCACGATATTAGTAATTAATATTCACATGTAATGTAATATATAAAAATATTTCATCAAATGTATTTCTTATTATGAGATAACTAGTTTTTAATCAATTAATTAATTTTATTAATAATAATATTTCATTAAATTAAATTAATTAACTAATATTAATATTATTAATTAATATTTGTAACTAATTGAAATAAATAATTTTAAATTAATTATTTTTTAAATAATTAATAAATTTAAATTATGTTATTCGGTTAATATATAATGAATTAATTAGTCATAATATAGAGTTGCAACAATATGATCTTTTTAGTCATTTGACATTGAATACAACCTTATAAGTTATTAGTTTACCAAACATATAACCATTTATATATCCTTATAAGTTAATGTGTTTACCAAATAACTTCCTTATTTTATTACATACTAGGTGGAATGCACGTGCACTGCACGTGGTCAAATATCAAAATTATTTACTTTAAATTTATTTATTTACTATAACATGGTTGCATAAAACTTTATAATTATCGTGATATATTAAACTTTTTTTGGATATTTCCATGTGTGGTTTTAATATTTTGTGGTTTGAACATTTTGTCTTCCAGAGAAATAGTGATATTTAAAGCATTAAAATATTAATTATTTAAGATTAATTAATAAATTGAATGTATAATTTTAAAATATTAATGATGTAAGGGACCAATAAGAAAAAACATAATATTATTAATGAAAAAAATAAATTCTTGAATTCATCACAGAAAATGGTAGGTTTTATTTAGTCATTAAGGATTTCGTTCAGTTACAAAAAAATCACTTCCACATGTTGTTTACTTCCACCTATTGTTTATCCGGTGATCGAGCATTATAGATATTCAAGAACTTTTTTCTAGAATTTTCTAAGTTAGAATGTGCAAATTCAATCAAGAAAGAAAATATAAATTGTATGATCAATTCCAAAATCTGATGTTGTACTCTTTTTACATCTTCCAACCTACTAATTAATATATCAAAACGATTACTCTCTACTTTCAGAAAATCATAAGATATAGTTTGAGAATGATTTATACATATTATGCACTCATATTGATTGTATTTTAACAAAATAATTTATATTTATCCAATGTCAAACAACATTCAAAAATTTAGCTTAAGAACTTAGAAAAATACAATATCTGCAATAATATTCATATCCAAGCTACGAGCTTCATAAACTTATAAGAAGGTGAGCAATATAAAATGACAACTTAATTTATTTTATCAAATAATTTATTACAAATAATGAAAGACAACGGGAATCAGAAGGATCATATACCCATTCCAAATAAATATTAAATTTCTCTTATAGATTCTTATAGCAAAGGATTTTCCGAGTTGATGTGTAAGACAAACTTGAGGACAAATAACCCAAACCAGTTCATTGAGTGATAGACTTGCTATAAACTCTACTCTTATAAAATTGATGTCACATGTGCCTTAAGTTATGCTTTTGTTTAAGGGTTAATTTTAGAAAACTCCCCCTGTAAATCTCTGCTAAGTTTTGGGAATTTTGTAGGTAATCTATCTTAACTTAAAAAAATTTGAGTTAACTCCTGTGGAATTTTCTCACTTGAATCTAGCCTCTCAAAACTAATATCATTGAGTCTTATCTATTATGTGACTTGTACTTGACTTCGAAAGAACAAAATATTAATCAATCATAAAAGAATTACCTTGGTTTTTGTCATATGAAGAAAAAATGTTATATAAAGGAAAAAGAATTATAAATTGGTCGTGGTCCTTTTATTATCGGTTAAGGATTTTTTTTAATTAAAATCGCTTTCTTCAAGAGGGTATTTTGTTCAAGTCATAAATTGAAGTAACTATGTAAGGAGATTTGGTGATAGAATTGTAAAAGATTAGGGGAATTTTATGAGACACACTATAGTTGAGAGGTGTTTTCTAAAATTGTACTAAAATTGAGAGGGGTTATCTATAATACCCCCACATAATAAGGGGGTTTTGTCAAACTGAATCAAATGAGTGGGTTTTTAAGACAATTCCCATAGTTGGGAGGGTTTTTAAAAAATTAACTCTTCTTTTAAATATGGTCATTTATAATTTGTCCCTCAAAATTTTAATAATTTAATATTAGTCCCTAAAATTATGAGCAATTTCAAAATATTTATAATTTGTCCCTCAAAATTTTAATAATTTAATATTAGTCCCTAAAATTATGAGCAATTTCAAAATTTTGAGGGAATAACATAGAATCATTTAATAATTTAATATTAGTCCCTAAAATTATGAGCA